TTAGATAAGCTAAACACAGGCTAGACCAAATAAAGTAGCCTAATTTACTTGAATTTTTTTCTGATAAAACACGAAGAATTTAATAAGTTTTACAAATGAAATATATTTAAATCTATGATATAATAATGTTATTTAATTTTTAGCATAAAAATACACGCAGACAGACACACAAACGATAAATTTTCGAGTTTTATGATTGTCTTAACGTTCTAGTTAGGCAATTTTATTATTTCAGTTAATGTTTAATCTAATCTCTTATAATTCTTAGAATTTATTCGAATATGTATATAAATACAGTACAATACATCTTACAGAAAATGCGTTAGAAAATAACGTGCCTGTGGGAATAGTTAGTTACTTTATCGTTTCTAACATGTGCGTGATAAAAATTGTATAATTCCTTATTTCTTAATGACTCGTAAAAGGTCAACATAATATAATGTTTAATAAATGTAAAAATTAAAGTTCGCATTAGAAAAAGTCTCTTAAAACATACCAAGTAATTAATAAGCAAACAGTTAAAAAATTAAACAAATAAAATTACATCATCAAACAGAAAAAGCCAGCCAGAATTGATAAAAAAAAAAAAAAAAAAAAAAACGGGTAAGATGATTATAAAATTAAACAGATTAAATTATCGGGTGAAAGATTAGTATCTAAACTTTCCATGCATAAAATACTAGAGATAATAAAGCAAGTTTAGCTGTGTCGAACTCGTTTCAGAATCGGATCGGTTAACACGTGGTCAGAAAATCGGAAACAATGATCCAAAACCAGAAGAGTAGCAAAGGATGAAAAAGCGACAAACCATAATAAAAACTAGATATAGGATTGGTGACGTCATCTTCAGTTAGTACAGGCTGTAAATAAAGCTTTTACGACACACTGGCCATCGACTACAATAGCTTCGAAAAGTTTTGTATCGTTTATTGTTAAATGACTCTTCTCGCCTTTTTTTTTTCTTCTTTTACCTCTTTTTAGAGTCGATTGTTGCCAATAAAATTGTATCAGAATGTTAAAAAAAAAGGTATGAAGTTTCTCAGGAAAGATATACATTTTCTGCACAAACATTCAAACTTTACGTAATGCTTAACAAATCGATAAATTAATTTTTATGCTAATATTATAGGCTACTTTATACATATTCAAATTATTGATATAACGAGGAGTTAGTTCTCAAATTTATTATATTATTAAAGAATTAAATTTCACAGAAAAATATAGATATTTTCTACACGAATATCNTAATTATTATAAAGTATAAGTAGGTGAAGATAACGGAATTTATAGCTAATCTCCCTAACAAAAAATGAAAATATATATTAAAATATTCGAAATTTAGCTAGAAAATTGAAAAAAGCCATTAACTTGATTTTTATATTTTTCCTTATTTTAAGATATTCTAACATTATTATTACATTAAAAGTGCATTCAGGTTCTGCTTCCCACATTAGTCTATTCTTTCGCATGTCGAACATCATTGACCCATCTTATGTGCCGATTTTCTATTATCTCTGTATAACGTAACTCGTGTATTTTCCTTTTATCTAGATCTATATTTGTTTAGTTTCATTTATCTAGCTCTTAATTTAGAAATAAAATAAACGTATAAGGAGAAGAGCTACGATTAAAATCATAAAATAGAAATTTATACAACCCGCATTGGCCTAAAAATCTCATCAAAATGAATTTAAATCCAAGTTGTTCCGTATTTTTAGATAAAAGAAAAAAAAATGTTTTTAAATTATTCTACTTTAACTCTAGAATTATATAAACAGGAAGAATTTCCTAATTTCTCTCTCTTTCTTCATCCATTAGGACTATATAAAAGTTTCGTCCTAAACTAGAAAGTAGGTTATTTGACTAAAAATATATGCACATTTTGAAAATTTTGCTTTCAGAATAGAAATTTTTAATTTTCTTTAAACTTTCTTTTGTCAATTTTCTGTTAGAAGAAAGAAAGAAAAGGGTTCAAGGAACTAGAATCTAATTGCAAACATCTCTAGAGAAAAACGATGTTTATTCCAATGGCAATAGCTCCATAATAACCGGAAAACCGGAAAATAATGGTTTCTTGTACGTAATAGAACTCATAAGCTACCGTGTGACTTGTAATAAGAAAGCCTAAGAGTGCAGGTCAAACACGTGGAAAGAGTTTACTATGAGGATGTTCTAATTTTGGCTAGATCCTTCATAAAAATCTTCCAATTGAAAATAACATGAAAGAGATACTAGATAAGTGGTTATGCTGACAAAAATATATAGCTATAAAGGGGTAAGAACTGTTTCTTTTATGGCACTCTATATAAGGTAAGTTCGAAACAATCTCCTCTTTCTAACGATATTAATTTTGCTTTCGTGCTACATGTACGAACAGGAAAAATTTCAAACAAATTACATAATTCCTATTGAAAAATGATTAAGTTAAGATTTAAAATATAAATATATTTCTATTTGACATTTTATCGTGATTTTCTTAAAACAATTCTATTTTAAAATAGATTTATCATGTGTTTTATTACTATTTTCCCTGTTAAAAAAGTCGAAAAACTACAATTTCGACTTTAGAAACAAGCTTTTGAATTATTAAATCAGAAAATAAAATTATCAATTTAAAACATAAATATATTTAAAAATTTATCAGCATTTTCTCTTCTTTCTTTTAATATACTAAAATATACATTTTCAAGTTTTTAAAATCTAAATAAATAATTAAAAACAAGAAAAAAAAATATATAGAAAATGATATCATGTTTATTTTTATCTGTTCTCTTGGACTACCAGACATAAGCTATTGTTTTTGATATGCCAATTTCCATTTATTACTTATCGAGTCATTAATATAATGTGAATAAGTAGGTTCCAGGAAAAATTATTACACAATTAAATGTATAGATTCCCGAGAAAAATCAAACAATAGAGAAGACGTGATAAACATCATGCAATCAACAAATTACCCGAACTTCTAACTCATAACCAATCAATGTTAAGCATACATTCAACTTCCTACTAGAAATTTTTTTTAGAAAAGAAATTGAAAAAATATATTTTAAAATTCGAGCAACTTTATTTGCATATTTCGGTGTTATAGATTCTATCTGAAGGATCTCATTTAAATACAAGAACTTTTGCTGATACATTTCGAGTTGGAATCTAGTAAATATTTAGATAAATTGAAATAGAACATTAATTTTCATTCATCCGTCAGCGAATTTTATGGGCATAGTTAAAGGTTGTCAAGTTCAGTTTCCAATAAAATCAAGAAAATGGAAGAGAGAAACACAACTAAAAACTCCTATTGATTTTCATTAAAAGTAATTTTTGATGGTTCAATTGTCAGGAAATAAGATATATTCCCGTTCTCTTGTCGATCCACCTTCTGAAAAATTTGTTTCTGTATTTAAAAAAAAATCTTTCATTTCACCATTACAAATTTTTTCGGGTAACCCCAACGCGTCTATACAAAATGGACCATCAGTTGTGACGTCATATCCGGTGATGGGCAGTGAGAGTGATTGTTCATCTTCCGGCCAGTTGGGTGGAGTTGGAGATTCCCCTTGCTTCCTGCTGAACAAAGCTTAAAATGATCAATAGAAACAGTTCGGCGAATTATTAAATTAAACGAAATGTTAAATATAGAATTTTTTGTGTTAAAAACTTTTTAAAAAATTGAAATAAAAAAAACAATTATATACAGGAAATGTTTTTATTTTTAGGAAAAATGAAACAAAAAAAATGATACATGGAATATTTACAGACAAATTCTGAAAGACATCTACAGTACAAAGAAGGGTTTTGTTTTTTTTTTTTATTATTTTTTTTATTTTTTTAAACTTCATTCTGTAAAAATCTGTGCTTTTCCATTTAAATTTGAAATTATTTTTGTTTTCTTTTTTTAATTAGCGCACATATATGTCCACCATCCTCTTTTTTTTTTTAAGTTCAATCAGGTACAGAGCCTTGTTGACAAACAAATAATCGAAAAAAATATATATATATATTTTATTTCTTTCAACAACATACGACGGATACTCTATTCTTTGATCAAAATCCATCACACCATTTACATTAATCGTGATGCAATTCATCAGATGGCAGTGAATGAATTCTTATGAGATCTAAACATAACCTTTCTACTATAACCATTACAGCAATTAATGCCCTTTTGTAAAAATTTCCAATCAGAACAAAAAAAATAAAAATAAAATAAAATAAAATTAAGTATAGTTAAAAATCTGTAACAGAAGAGAAAGGAAAAAAAAAATAATATTACAATTTTACTTTTTCTAAATTTAAAATGGAAAGTTTCAGATCTTCCGGAACTAAATTATCCATGGAATCTAATATTTTCGAACGTGTCATTCATCGAAGTATATTCTACCATTTGTGAATCCTTCTTCTATAGATAAGCACACCATTAAAATCCACAATTGATTGAAGAGATAAACAGGTACTCGATGTGCATATCTTCGTATTCAGCAGCTTTAATAGACACATAAGTGCTCCTGCCAATAATCAACACTGGCCAAATTTTTAAATTGGTTTTTTTAAGTCTTACGTTTGTAACAGGTGAAACATATCCGTGGACATTAAATCCGAATATTTATTATATATATCCCTCTTTACAAACTCAGATAATAGAACTAGAAAATTAATAATCTTTGGCAGAATAATTTGTACTGGACAATGGTTAAGATTTGTGTACGTTTATCTTCCCATTTAAGGGATTTATCATAATAGGCCTACTGACCATTTATATATATATTTTTTTTAATAAATTTATTTTTTTTCCTACTGAGTAGGATTATGGTCCACTGGTTCGAGTTGAATTTCCATTTTCTTACCGTTAATCGAAAGCAAATAATTATTGGAATTTTTTATTTTAAAAAATAAAAATATTTATCAGTAAATACTGCTATTTATCGGTTGTTAAATACATTTAAAATTTTAGATTTATTATTTTATTTTTTTTAATTAATTAATTAATATATATATTTTTTCTTTTCTATTCTTTTGGTTTAAATTAAATAATTTATTTCTGTTAGCAGAAATTTATTTTTATTTTTTAAGCTGGAGCCTAAAAATTAAAAAAATAAAATAAAATAAAGTAGAATGATATCTGAAGGTCATCCATTTATCACTTTAGTCAACAAAAAATAAAATTTTTCTAATCTCAGTCAAAATAAATATTTTAGGCCTTGTGATATTATAAGCTACGTCTGGAAATAAAGACTTTTGTTGCACTTTTGTTTAAAATAATTTAAAAGTTTTTTTTTAAAAATGTAATTATCAATTTCCATTCCTCTTGATGGAATTCAAGAGATAGAAGCTGCCTAAGGACTGATGCCAATTCCAGCTCTTCCTATGAAACAATTTATAGTGACCAAGTCACTAATTGTAGTATGTTACAGGAATATATACTTTACGTACTCATTCACTCATTTTTTTCAAACATCTAACACACAGACTGTACATTCCATTAGGTAGCTCCGAACAAGTCAATGGAGATTTAACATGTAGGTGAGCATCCGCAAGAAATGCATATTTTACACATTCCGAAGGAAAATGCCCACCAAGAAGTCCGCGAATATATATTTTTTTTAAAGATGACCGTACTTTAGTTTATTATATAATTTTTTAATGTTTTTTTTTTTTTCAGGAGAGGATTAGAAACGATTTGGGCAGTCCATGTGATAATTACTAGATCCTTTTCATTCTGTATCAGCGCCATCATCAAATGAAGTATTGCCCGTTGGTGTCGAATGTTCAGATGAGTAGGCAGTGTTAAATGGATCCGTTTTCTCCCAGACTGAGACGTTTGGTGCAGATGGACACTCCTCCGTCACTTGTCAGGCTCTGGATGCTGCTATGATCATCAGTATCACTCTGACTGCTATTGTAACCCACTATATCCACCTCATCTGTAACGAGAAAAAATGATTCTTAATAGATTTGTCAATGTGTAAAATTTATATTATAACAAAAAAATGTTTATCCCCCCTAAAATCATTAGAAAATGCTTTTACTTTTCAATCCGAATATAAATAAACAAAACTGATATTGAATATATGTTCATATCTTATAAAGGTTTATATTATAAACACAGTATAAACGGAATAAAATTTGCAACGTATCATGACAGATGTAAAATTTCATGGCTAAGTTAACAAAAAGCATGCAGACGATGTTGTAAACACCATAGATGTAAACGTATCACCAAGTTAAAATTCCAGATAGAGATCCAGTTATCAGCTATTTATAAGGCATTCAATAATAACTGATAATTTATCTCATCTTCAATAGGAACTTAGCTGCAACAAGATACGATATCTTAACAAAACGCTGCAGATTCACAATTAATTTTAAATTCACCAATTTAATTATAATTGTTACGTGATGTAACACTTGTAATATGCTAATGATTTTTTTTTTTCGCAAATAACATTTAACCCACATAATTAAGTGATTAATTAACACTTGTTTTTTAAATATTCTTAGTAAAATTATACAAATTGAAAAAAATCAAACGTATAAAAGACCTTTGATATTAATGGAGTTTGAAAAAAACTGTCCCAGTTATTATTAAGGACAGGATAATTGATGTTTAGATCTATAGTTTCGACATAGGATTTGAAAGATGAAGTGTAAATCGAACGATGAGACTCGAACGTTCTGTAATTTCATATCCATCTTTAAAAACACAAAGCGACGACCGCATTTAGTCACACCTCATTGTCAGCAAAAGTACTCCATGCATGGAAAAAAGTTTTCATTATTCAATCCACGCGTATAATCTCAATAGATAGGTCCACTGCATGAACATTATGGCACAAATCAACCTGTTGTGTTACTTTATAGGGTGGGGCCCGAATTCTACGACCGAAACGTGACCTCTGGCTGCTTCTCTTCTATATCGTTGACCAAATCCAGATTAAACTTAACGATTCGTAGTTACTTTTCGTTTAGGTGAATAACCTTGCTTTACCTGACTTTGCACTGCCCACGTTAACCGCGTGCAGTTCAATGGTCTAGACTCGACCTTTACTGTCAACATGTCTATTTTATGGGTGAAGACCTTTAACTGTTAGGAAAATGGTTGTAATAAATCAACATCCTGATTGGAAGTTAGATTTGCGCCTATCGTTTACTTGCTAGTTGGCTTTCTCTATGGGGCTTTCTGCTCCGAACTCTTTGAACTTAGGTCATCATCATCAATCTTCGCCGTACGCAGAATATGGTTTCATTTCTTGCAGAATAGACCATTAATGCCTAGACAGGTCATTAATGAAATGATGCATTATTAACCTACTTATACCTCTTTTGTAGATGAAAGCCTATCGTGATTTAAGATTAAACACTGCGACATTCTCTCGGTATTTCTATACAAATATATTTCTAGAATTGAAGGGATTGAATTTAGAACAAACCATGGTTAGATATTTTAATGGGTAATACGAACGTTAAAAGGAAACCATAAAAAATGCAGGACAGGATGACAATTTTAAAATTCTGAGAAATAAAAATTTGGTTATGTGACGTACACACAAATATTTATGTGAAAAGTACAGAATCAGTAGAGCAGCACTCACCATACAAAAGACAATTAAAACAGTAAAATCAGGCCACTGGGAATTGCTGTTACTAATTTGAAAAAAAATGATTATTTTAATTTTAAATTCTGTCATTTTTTCGGTTTATTTCACTAGAAATGATAAAAATTTATCCTTTTATATATAAATGTAGTTTGATGCAATTATTAATTATCAAGAACATCGATATATTTCCTTTATAAACAATATAAATTCTAATGAAAAAAGGTGTGACAAAAAATTTATAAAAACCAATAATAAGAAAATATTGCAAACAGGAAATAACCTTTTAACCATTTCAGAGCATATTGCATCACTTCTTCCTGACCGACAAAATCTTAAGTTAACTTCCTTTTCAGAAAAATTCCCTAAATTTATATTAGCCTATTTAACTCGGGCCTACTGTTCCTAAATTTTTAAAGATGAAGAATAAATTAATAAATAACAGGTTCTTCTATGAGGATTTTTTACGTCAAAATTTTGACAAGTTTGACACAGATTTAACCTTTAGCTTCGCCATAATCTGGCTCTTCTAGACATGTTCTTTTTAATTTTTTTTAAGTTATAATGGTTATTTATTTATAAAAACCAGATAAGTTTGGGTAGCTGTCATAAAAGTTTGCTACTAAACTACACATTTAGACTTCATTTACTCGAAGAAAACAGTTCTGAACAGGAAGAAATTATGTTACATTAACCACTTAAAGAAATAAAAAGAAAATCAGGACTATTTTTAGTCTTTTCTATATTTTTAATAGATTAAATAATAAATTATAACAGTGAATAAAGTGAATGATTTGCTATATAAGTTCCTATATTGTTAATATATTACTTGGAATATTTGATAATAAATCTTTCAAAAATGAATTTAAAGTTCTAAAATTATTCTGAAGAGTAAAATAATAGGTTCTAGTTTTCATAAACAGAATGCAGAACCCAGATAACCAGATTGGGTAAACAAGAGCATGTGAGAGTGTTCCACGTGTTAGAGTCGACCGGGCGAATGACTGTCCTTGAACTCAAGCAATAAAATAAAAAAAATGGGGCGTTAGAAGAGAGGGAGGTTGTCCAGCATCTCAATCAGTACTTCAGTAGTAATAGGCATATCTCTTAACACTCATATAACCTCACCTAACCGAGTAAAACAATGGAGGAGAGGTTATAAGGTCGTACAACGACGCAGTCACGTTCACAGGTCGCTGGTCAGAGATTCACGTCTTTCTACCCGCCTTTCTGGCGACACCACCTAAACTCTCGTCCTGACCCTGTTGTTGCATGAATAAGCAAGCCCCGAGCAATATTTGATTTTTCTGGTAACTTTACCATTAAATTAATCTCCAATTACACCAGAAGCAAAAAGATCTACGTTACACTATTTTTCATTTATAGCTTCAGGGTACCCGATAGCTGGAGCTAGTAAGTAGATGAGGCCAGCTCTTCCCACGTACTGTACATAGGGGGGATTTTTGTCTTTTTGAGGCCTGTAACTACCCTTCTCGGTTCGTGTAGTTATACATGGATTCAATGCAAAAATAATACAGAGCATAAATAATAGGGCTTCTATTTAGTACGGTGTGACAACATAACGATAAAACGAATTACTACATCGCTGTTTTTTTGGTTTTTTTTTGTAACTTATCTGCAGGGATCTAACTGCACTAACAGCACCGGCTATTTTAGTCGAGACCTACTAGCATGGCTGTTCATTGTCCATTTATGATATCCTGTTCTATAGTTCTATGCAGCACTGCGGGTTTTGCTTCTTGCTTCATTTAGCAAAGAAAGAAAGAGTTTTTTTTTTGTGTGTGTGTGTGTGTCAGCTTTCTAAATGTTGTTTTGTATTTAAATTTTAAATTATTTATTTTATATAGAATTTATTATCATTTTTCTATTTATTGTAATAATTTTCATGACTATACGTGCTTTTTAAGAGCATAAATTTAAAAAGATAAAGAAACTTGATATATACATTAGTCCTATATATAATTCTTGTTAAATAATTGTTAAGAACAAAAAAAACAAGCGAGAAACAAGGGAAAAAAGTCATAGATTTATCCAAACACTTTAATTTTTGCAAAGTATTCTTTGTGTTATTGGAGATGACACAAAAATTAAAAAAAAAAAAAAAAAAAACGGGTAAGATGATTATAAAATTAAACAGATTAAATTATCGGGTGAAAGATTAGTATCTAAACTTTCCATGCATAAAATACTAGAGATAATAAAGCAAGTTTAGCTGTGTCGAACTCGTTTCAGAATCGGATCGGTTAACACGTGGTCAGAAAATCGGAAACAATGATCCAAAACCAGAAGAGTAGCAAAGGATGAAAAAGCGACAAACCATAATAAAAACTAGATATAGGATTGGTGACGTCATCTTCAGTTAGTACAGGCTGTAAATAAAGCTTTTACGACACACTGGCCATCGACTACAATAGCTTCGAAAAGTTTTGTATCGTTTATTGTTAAATGACTCTTCTCGCCTTTTTTTTTTCTTCTTTTACCTCTTTTTAGAGTCGATTGTTGCCAATAAAATTGTATCAGAATGTTAAAAAAAAAGGTATGAAGTTTCTCAGGAAAGATATACATTTTCTGCACAAACATTCAAACTTTACGTAATGCTTAACAAATCGATAAATTAATTTTTATGCTAATATTATAGGCTACTTTATACATATTCAAATTATTGATATAACGAGGAGTTAGTTCTCAAATTTATTATATTATTAAAGAATTAAATTTCACAGAAAAATATAGATATTTTCTACACGAATATCTCTACCTCATAAATATGTAAATAATGTAAAAGTTTAAATGAATCACGTTAAAATCAATTTTTTTGTTTCTTTTTATAGTTATTATACTTTAAATAAATTTAAATTATTAGTAATTAATTTTACGAATTAATTTCTTATTATATTACACTATTAAAATGAGAAATTTCTTTGGAAAAGTAAGCATTTTCTGTATAAATATATAAATAATCCTTAATTATGAAAAGCTCAAATAAATCACTTTATTTTAAAATTGAATTCTTATTATTTTACATAATTAAATTATGAAATTTTAAAGAAAAATAAGTTTTTTTTAAAATATATAGCCTATATATTAAATTTCTAACATAAAAATATATAATTAATATAAAATCTTAAGCAAAATATTCTAAAATTAATATTTATGAAAATATTATATTTAATATAAATTCAAATTATTGATAAATTTAAAATTTAAGTTCTTTTATTATTAAAGGAAACAACATATTAAAAATTTAGGTTAATATTCCTGTAAGGTTATCCAGTTTTTAAATTGAAATTAAAGTATAAAACAAAGAAATTATTCAAATAAAATTATGATTTACGTAAATATTTACATTAAAATCCCGAATAAAGTTTAAATACAAAAATATAGTATAATGCATATCGTGTATTAAAAGAAAAATTGCCTCACTTCTCTAGAAAACATTAATATTAAAGAGGCATACAGTGTTATTAATTTGAAATATAAAAATATTGACCTTAAATATTTTTGTATTATAAAAAAAAACTAATATAAAATAAATTTACTGCAGTTTTTTTTTTTTTTAAAGAGAGAGCAGCTGAAGATTTTTACTCCCTGAACTAAGGGTGGGTCCTTTATATGTTAAATTTAACCTAAGGTTAAAGGGGGCTCGAACCTAAAATTACCTCTCAGACCCAGAAATTCTATTTGCACCCGGAAGCAATGCAATTTTATATGCAATTTTCCTCTCTTCGCTGCTATTCTAGATTAAGAATTCTAAATTGATTTAAAGATAATATTTTGTATAGAAAATTGTATACTTATTAACATTTTTTTCATATTTCTAAACTATAAATTTTTACCTTTTTAAAGTAAACTCGTGTATTACAAATGCTGATTAAGTTTAAGCACGTTTAATGGGTCTTTTAATATTCCCGGAGTTACAATGCATGCTCTTTGATTTACTTGATAAACAGAGCAAACAAAATATAATTTTATATTTAATTTCTATTATTTTTTTTTTTACTTAATCAGCAATAAATAGGATATATTCAAAAGCTGAAAAAGAGAAACTTTAAAAAAAAAAAAAAGAATATTTTTATAACTTTTTCAAGTATTTGAAAGTAGAACGTAAACAACTATTTGATTATATATTATATATTTGCCATATTTGAAGTAACATATTATGAAAACTCTGGTACTGTGAGCAACAGTTAAAAGTAGTTCAAGGTTGGGTAATTTTTGTATTCCAAGAAACTAGCAGGTGTAGTAGTCTAAGGTGAATAAGGTTCTGTCCTGCACAAGCAGTGATTGTAATTTTGGCAATGCTTCAACATACTTGCTATATCTACGTATCTTACAATAGTGTTCCGTGAATAACTTTTGATAGCTTTGCATTAACAAACACTAAAACACCGGCTCCATGTGCTACATTGACATTGATTGTAATCGTCACCTGAACTAATCTATCAAAATTGAAACAAAAAAAACAAAGTTCATTTAGCTTTTATTGTTATTGTTTAAAACGTAATTCGATTTTTAATGATATTTTCTATATAAATTTCTATTTTTATAACTGTAAAACTCAAAAAAACAACTGTCAAAGTTTCGATTTTTATACATAAAAGTAACTTTTAGTTTTAAAATTAATTTTTTTTTTTTAAATAAACTTTTCAAAAAAAAAAAAAATATAAAATTAATATAGGCCTACATTTCTGTTAAAAATTAAATTTATTTAAAATGAATTTTTAAAAATGAAAAAGAACCCTAAAAACCTGCTTATGTTTGAATAATGTTCTAATTTATTATAAGGCCAAAACAGAAATACTTATATAAATAATTGTAAACAATAGTGGTTTGATCTAAAATTATTTCCGTGTTCTATTTTCCAATTTTTTAGATAATTTTTGTAAATTTTTTAATGTTTTTCCACAATGCTAAAGGCTCTATATTAATTATTTTCATGATTACTTGTTAGCAAAAAGGGAACATAAATATAAAAAAACATTATTTTAAAAAGTGAACTAATGACACTAAGAAAGATTTTTACTGTAAAAACCTGATAAATGGAAGAAAAAGAAATGGTGGCACGATGCGAATCATAAATTTAAATGTAGAGAAGAGGCCCACTTCGCCCAGAATACGTTAATAGGCTATATTCACTATTATATAAGTAAAAACTAAAAATAGCACAAAATGTGCCCGAGGTAAATGATCCAATTGATGGGTCACCTGTTTCTGACGTGGAAGATGTCGAGGGTGATGTCGAACTGCACTCACTGACACTTCTCCGTTTCCGTTCGTAATGGAATGGTCCATTTAGCTGATCCAATCTCCGCCTGAGATATCTCTGCTCCCTTAATAGCTGTTCCTTTTGTACCTGATGCTTCCTATCTTTGTCTTCAAGTGTCTGGAAAGAATCATATTCTGAATGTTTCATTGATTTTAAGTAGGATAGGCACACTTCATCCTAATAACCTATTGATAGATTTGAAAGTGGAGTAGGGATTTAAAATGGTTTGCATCTCACTCCATTCTGTACAGATTTTCAGCTCTTATAAAATTTAATGACTGTATTATTTTCTTACTATAATCCCTCTAAAAGACAAAATCATTACTGTGTAATCCTGAATGAAGAGTATTATATTAAAGTCGAATATTAAATAAAAGTTCAAGTTTAATTCTTTAGTAGTTATTTGTAGGAAGTTAAATACGTTTAGGAGAAACTTAGAAGTGCATCGATAAGCACATGTCTTTATCATGAATTTAAATAAGCCTAGATAAATTCAAGTTTAAACAATTTTTAGTTTACGGTTTCTTTTTTAGAAAAACTAAAAAATACAAACAGGTCCTCACAGAAGTCGAGAAAGGCCAGAGTCATTTGTATTTTTGGAGCTCTTCATATTAGAAAATAGCGAAATAGAAAATAAAATTCTAAATTTGAGGCGTTTTGTGGATATCAATCCGGTTCAACTAGCCTTTCTGGATCCCTTTATGATAGGCCCTGAATATATCATACTGTAAATAACTGATAAGAATATTAAGGGCATTCGAAACTTTAAGAGAAAAATATTTGACTATATTAAAGCATTAAAAATTATAATTATGATGCAGTAATATATTAAAAGTAGTAATCTTCTATGTGAAAGTCGGTTTAATATATAAAAAAAAAATATATTACTGTATTTTTCGGTTACCTTAATGAAGGATTTAGCTTTGGTTAAAAGACCTAACGTCGTATGGCGATTTGATTCGGGTCCTAAAGGAACGATTTCCTTTAATTTTTCGAGACAATTCCGCAAATGAGCCCGCCTTAAAGAAGAAAAAAAAAACAAAAATAATATGTTATTTATAGAGTTATTGCAAATAGGAAAAAATGAAAACATCAGCCAATACATCTGAATAACTTAAATTTATAAGTAAATGTATCTACTTATTTTTTTTAATTCTTTGTTCTTTTGTGAGTCAAAGCAATTTAAAATTATTTGAAACTGGTGAAAAAAGAACCCTTTGAATTAAATTCCTGTAAGTGCAGAGATCCGAAACGAAGCTGTTAAAAGCAAGTACCGTTTCGCTTAATTGGTTTCCTAAATATTTTACAGGCATTAAACAGCAATCATAACAACACCATAAGGAATGGCCTACTTTTAGAAGAGCTTCCTGAGAAACAATAACTTTGCTTTTTCGAAATGTAGACGTGAATTCAGTCAAGTATGAAGTGTTTAGAATAGATTGATACCAAAACAATTCACGCTTCGAAACCACACAGTTGCGTTTACCAAAATAAATCTGGTCAACGTAGCTATTATACGGTTTCATTCTTTACTATTACTATGTTTAATTTGTAATCTGATAAAACATGCAATATAATGATTTGATAAACTCACAGCCACAATAATTCCTGAAGTATCTTGATGAAACGCAAGTTGAGGGAAAGCCTCTGATACCATTACAATGCAATGTTACTATGACTAATATTGGATGAACATATGTCATTCACAGGGTTAATCCATCCGTCAATTTTTATCTAAATCTAATCGTAATTATATAAAAAAAAAGTCAAGAATTCAAATAAAATACACCCTCGCAACATTTATTTAGATTTATACTTTTTGGTTCTTCAAAATTGATATTTTTGTAAATCATGCTACATAAATTGACGTAGTCATCTGTTCTAATTGATCGTGTCTGTTATTAAATTAATCATATCTAATCATAAATAAGGAAGTGACAAATTGCTTTCTTCAACGTATCTAAATCAACTGAAAACATTCGCACACACCTGACATGATAACAAACATCTCAACTGAGAGGTTCAATGACCCAATACGGACAAACAACAGAGGAGCCAAAATTCTTTCCTTTTTTTAAATATCTGTTTATTCTCAACACTTTCTGAACTGTCCTATAAGTTAAGCAAACACAGAATAAAATAGAAACACGAATCTCTGAAACGAAAAACAAGTCTCGAGTAACGATTCTAATTAAATACTGTCAAACGCATATTACTGCCTAGAAATACAAGAAAATCAATAAGGTAATTGAAATTTAGATGAAGTAAAATGCATTTAATTTTCGTCTCGGACAAGTAGCAGATTATTAGTCAGATCCACCTGTTTACTAATTGCAGCAAAGTGTGGCAGACGGCACGCTTGACACCCATAGTGTTTTTCACAATGGATGTTGCAATGACTCATTAAGCGAGAACCAGAGGCACAATGACGACAATCGAGTAAACTGCTGACAATTGGAGACAAGCTGAATAAACTTATTTGGGTCAAACGTGGTCCTCAACATATCAGAAAATAACCGTGAAAGTAGAATGTTGTCCCCTGTGATTTTATTTTTATCTCGCGATGCAAGTGGTCTTATTTTTGGAAAAATAACGTTTCTTATTCGTTTTTTTTTTTTCGATAAATAACCAACCGACCGTAGTTAGTTATTGATTCGAAAATAACAAATTCAATTTTCATCAAAAGTTACGAAAAAAAAATCAAAGAAGAGAAAGTGACACATAAATCTATAAATGTAAATGTTCTTTGACGAGTTTAATTATTTTAGAATAAAAATAATTAATTTAAGAACAAATTTGACTTTTTATAAATCGATATTTTAAATTAAAAAATGCAAATTAAATTAAGTTATTTTTTTAAAAAAAACATATTTTTTTAAAGGAATTTTTTTCATCACATGACAAGCGTTTGAAATCATTTCAAAATTTTGTTGGCATCAGTGGCCACACTAGCGTTCAAAATACCCATAAGCATACTTCTAAACAAAACATTGAAATAATTTATTTTTGGATAGCTGTTCCAAAATGTTTCGAGATTTTAACCGGATAATTTATTTTTATCACAAACAAAATTTTTAAAGTTATATATATATATAAAAAAAAATATTTAAAATGTTCAAAATAACATCTAAAAATTGCCTCTTATTTCTTAAATAATTATACAAATAACAATAATAACTATTATCATTATCTTTTCGCATATAATAAAAATTTTTCGTGTAAAAATATTTAAAATTTTAAAGACATTCCCATTCTCTAAATCATTTTTACAACTTCTACAAACAGAAATAAAGTAAAAAAAAATACACATTTGTAAGAGTGTAAAGTTGTATAACACATTGAGCAAAACTTAAAAATTTTCTTCCCTCCGGTCCTAAAAATGTAGATGAAAATATTTATTTTTCTAAGGCTTGTCCTAGTTTCTATAAAAACAAACAAAAGAGGAGTTAATGCTATTTATCATAAAATAGCAAACGGATTTAAAATGTTATGTTTGTTAAAATTTTGTCGATGAAGCATTAGATTAAGCTATTGCATCTTCATCAGATTATTTTATCTTGTTTTGAATCCTGTAAATAGGTTAATGCATCTAACTGTTCATTTCTGATAGAAAATGAAATAAGTTTCTTTGTCGTACAGAGGGGAAAGGCCAATTTAACTTAATGCTCTTCCTTTCATGGCCGGAAAACTATTTAGAAGTGTTACAAAAAGAATTTAGCACCCCTTTTTTTCCTGTTTTTAAGTTTTTCTTTTCATCCTTTTCATATTACCGAAACTAAATCTTTTATTCTACAGTTTCGGCTACGCTTAATTTTATAAAGATAAGGTTTAGAATAGTTCGAAAATTATAATTTTCTTTTTTTCTATTCAAAAACAGTTTAGAATATTTAGTAATTTGGTAACTCATAGGCGTTAAAAACAAAAAGAAAAAAAGGAAAAGGAGTTCAGTCACGAGACGTGTTATCAAGTTTCAAAAACAGCAAGGGGTCGCAATCTTTTCAAAATAGGAAGATATATTAAAACAAAAATTTGGCATAAGTAGGCTAAAAAAATAAAATCCACTGATATGTTTTCTATATTAACATAAAGTACCTTAATGAAGGATTTAGCTTTGGTTAAAAGACCGAANAAATTTTCCAGAAAAGTAAAATTATATTTTTTTTTATATATTTTTAAAGCTTCGTAAAATAATCAAGAGTACAAAATAGCAAATCTGAATTTTTTTTAGTTTAAAATTAATTATATAATAATATCAAATAGAATTATGTATTCGTTTTCAGTAATATAAAATATAATTTAAAATATATAAAATAGTATCTTTTAATTATAATAATTATAATGCTTTAGTTTTATGATAATGTATTCAAATATAATAGAGAAATGCAATTATAATGTGATAATTATATATAAATGCTTAAATACAAACATATAGAAAAAGCTATTTAATTATTATTATTGTTTTAATATAAATGTCTTGAAATTAATGTCTCAAAGTAATGTTTGTAAACATTTTTGACATTGATGCAATTAATAATGATAAAAATTATTTTAAACTATAATCAAATGCTTTTTTTTTTTTAATTTCGTACGAAAATCTTTGTATTTCTTACTAAGATCCTGGCCAAATTTAATATAATAATGCATATTAAACAGATAAAATTAGTTTGTGTAGCTCAGTTTTAGGGCTATTTATCAAAACACAGACAGACGAACGAACGATCAAAGCGCTAATTTTTTTCTTCTTAAATCGCTGAAAAGAAGTATTTATGCCCCTCATTCAAGTAATGTCATATGTTGATATGGATTTTGTAATTTGTAAAGAAATATTAATCATTATAATAATTATAATTAAAAAACATTTTTTTCTTTGCTCTTTTGATGCAGAATGTAATTATTTTTAAAGATTATAAATATCTGTTGAAATAACTTTATTGTTCTGACTATTTAATAAAATTCAATTGAATTCCGTCATTCTGACTTCTTTTTTTTTATATATATAATCACGCTATCGCTTTGTTATGTGCTACATTTCCTGTACACATAATAAGCTAATATTGCACGAAAATATATTTTTTTTTACATGAGAAATGGGCTATGTATGCTTTAGAGCAACCGGTTCCTTCAAATTTATCATACCAATTTTGTTTCTTTTTTTTTCATAGTTTCAAATTAATTTGCTTTTCTTGGGTAATAAGCTGACATGAATTGAAGTCGGCAGTGAACCTGAAAGAGTTTAAGTATTTTCATTTATGCAAAATTGACGAGGTCTTTGCCATGAATTTTGGAGTCATTTAACTTCTCTTTCCTCTTTATTCGAGAATAAATGGAACTTAGACAACAATACAAGAGATTTTTTTGAACATTTAATGCAAACTCATTTGCAGATGAGCATTGGAAAGATCAAGGCTTGATGCTCGAATATGGGCTGAGAGTTCGAGAGCAAACGAAAGTTTTGATTTAGTTACCCGTTGAAGATTGTATGGCAATCGGTTCTGAATTCTTTTGTCAAGATTTAAACAAGAATCTAAATTAAAGCAACGTTAGAAAGCCTTTGTTAACTATTCTCTTCGGAAAGTTGGTTGTCTGTTGTAGGATATCCATAACGGTTCTTAAATTCTCACAATTGATCAGAAGCCATCTGGAACCATTTGGTAAAATTCAATTGGTGAAAAGAACGGGAGGCCTCAGTCCCCACAAGTCGAACATTTCGTCTAGGCCTACACCTGGAACTAGAACGGAAGCGGGTGAGGAGACGGATATGAACCATTCCTAACAGCATTTCTGTAGAAAAGGTCTCATTTCCGAACGCCTTGGTTAACGTCAAGGCCGGAAAAAATCCTATTTTTTCCAACAGACTAACACTCATTACGAGATATTGGTTGTAAATCCAATATTTTCTCTGACATTCGCAATTTGAAGGTTTAGCTTATAGATGAAAGTATTACTAAATACCCCGCTTGTGTAAGAGGATTTGTTGGAAGATAAGCAGTGACACAATATTCCTTTTTTGTGAAATAGGCCACTTTATCTAACTAAAATTGTAATTTTAAATTATTGCTTAGGCCAATCACATTAATTAGCCTTTAGTATAAAAAATAAATAGTATGATTGTAATCATTTTGCTAACAAAAACATTCTTTCTAAAATAATTTCCTATTTAGGTAAATTATAACTCGAATTTATAGTGATAAAATCAAGAAATTTAAAGTAATTATTCATCTGAATGTAAGAGAGTTTAATAAGCAATTTTTCACTAAAAATGAATGTTTTTTTTAATTAACATATAAGCTAATAAACGTTATATCAAGGCCTACATAGATACGTGTTTTCCTTTGGAAATGTATCAAAAAACTCAAAAGAACATGCTCTGTATCATTTTGGAAAAGAAAGACGATTTCTTGTCATGGACCTAATCATATCAGAGATATAAAATCATGGCTATCTTAGATCCATCTCCTATTCTAGCCTAGATTCAAACATCGGAAATTCATATCGCAAGCTTTGTCCTGTATTCATTTCTATTTAAAAATATAGGCCTGCACAGCAGCCTACTTTATTAAAAACGGCGTCATGCAGAGCTATTTAATAACCTTATTAACCTAAAATTCAAAATATATACTTTTCTCGGGTTCGAATATTACTTCATATTTAAAATTTTTTAATTAATCGAAAAACACACGGCCGTATGCGGAAACGATATCGATTTTTATAGAAGCGATCAAGGTCACTTATACAAGAATAGTTCATGACGTAGCTTATACTATTATCAATCTACACGTAAGAAAACCAGAAAAGAAAAAAAAAATTAAAAAAGAAATAAAAGGAAATTGTATAATTTTATGGATTCTTAGTATTATTTAATTATAAATCGGGTTTTGTTTCGGTCGAAGCCGCAATAACAGAAAGAATCATCTGGATGTCCAGTCAACTCGAAAGACTTACGAGACAGCGCGGCTTCGTTTACTTGGCAACGTGTCAACTCCAAACACTATTGCCACGTGGTGTTCGGTGGTGTAGCCACCACACCCCGAAGTCACATGGTTCTGCAAATCTGCAACAATTACGTCGTCCATTATTACTAACCAATATGCCCATTATTTAGATTTATCTACATCATTTAGCTTCTGTTTTAATCGCTTAATACGACATTTTTATAACTAAATCGGTAAGAGTTATTTTGCAAATAATTTACAAAAAAGTGAATTTTTTATATTAGCAAACGGATTTAAAATGTTATGTTTGTTAAAATTTTGTCGATGAAGCATTAGATTAAGCTATTGCATCTTCATCAGATTATTTTATCTTGTTTTGANCTTCTTTGTTTCAGAAAAAAAATAATTCTGATCTATAATTATTCTAATTTTTTTAGTAAATAAATTAATAAATAATGAAATATTTAAAAAAAAATGTCACTTTGTTTTTCACTTAAATCATTAAAAATTTGTTTTTCGTAATTTACTCACGCGATTTCTTTATATGATAAGATTAACAATTATTTATTACTCATAAATTAAACTTTGCACAAAGAAATCTCGCGAAAAAAAAATACTATTTTAATCGAAGAGGAAAAATATAATAATTTTTGTAGTTACTTGACTGAACTTCATATACAAAATGAGTAACGGGTAGGGGGTTGTTAAAAATTGTAGATAATCCCCCAGACATTGCCTAAAAGTCGTTACGCTAATTATCTTTAAAATAAGATACAAGTGGGAGAGTCAAAGTAAGACGGTTGGGTTAAACGTCCCTGGAAGTAGTTTGACTAGAAAAGATGTTCGGTCCAGTCAATTATCTTATGAGGGACTTATTTAACATACAATAGGATCACTGACCCTTTATTTAATTATTACTGACATCTGCAGTTGTTCCACTGCTCAAATGATAATTTTTTCTTATTTTTTCTCTCTCTCTCTCTCTTTTTTTTTTTGAAGTAAGTTAAATAGAATAATATCTGATTTTAATTATAGACGAATTATTTAAAATAATATATTTTTTAAACTCTACTTAATGATTGAAATATAAGACATTGTTGTACTTTTTATGTATTTTATTTCGGTCTGAACAACTTAGTAATTTCAGAAGCTGATAAACATGACGTCGAGTTGAGCTTTGCACGCTTTTTTTTTTTCTAGTTATGTTTACAAATTCCATCACCTCCCTCAGACGTCGAGTTGGCTCCAGTTCTCTTAATTGATATACTTTTCCATTCATTATAAAATTCGAAAGTTCATGGAATGAATATTTGCTTCCAATCTTTAATAATTTTTTTTGTTCTTAAGAGTTTCAGAGAAAGCAAAACCTGATATATGCAAGCAATTACAAAAGAAAAAACAAAAAAAAAAGAATTCAAATTAAACAGAATAAAAAAATTATATATATAAAATCTAACTTTTCATTAACGATTCTTGCTATATCACTTAACGAATTAAAAATAACAGTATAGCGTACCACGTGATACGAAATTGTGAATGAATAGAATTGTATCCTCTAATCGTGACGAACAGATTTATAAATTTGTCAATTGTATAAATAGATTTGATATTATTAGGAAATGTAATAAAATACATCACTCGAATATACTAGATTACGTGAGGAGATGATATACAGTACAAAGGATCGATCTAATCCTGAATACAGTAATTTCATTCAACTTTACATAGCCTATACTTAAGTCAATAAAAGTGATAAAAGTAATAAGCAATAACATGATTCGATTAAATAAATTTAAAAATAACATCTCACGTGATTGTCTATAGTAATAAATATTGGTAACTTTTAAGTTTTCGCATGTTGCTAATTAATAATACGTGAAAAATCTTTAACTGTATAAGAGAAGAAAACTGTTTCGAATTCTTTAATAGAAATTTTATATTTTTGGAATGAATCACGTGGTTTAATTGAATAACTAGAGATAATATTTTTAGTATAACTATACCACAGAACGTGATGTCTACTGTGTTGATCCAACGATAAAATTCCTAGCATTTACTGAATTAAATTAATTTAATATTTCATTTTACTGGAGAATTACTAAAACCGAACAATGAGTGAAAAACATGAAGGGGGGGAAAGCGTGCAATAACGAAAACGAAAATTAGCTAACAAAATATTACAACAGTTAGGTTGCAAAAAATTGGTATTACTAATCGACAAATAGGTTACAGACCCTATGTTTTCGGCAAGGTTTATATCTATTCTTTGATAAATAACAGTAATCGTACTGTTAATAAATATCCTTGACATTTATTCAATGATGTAGCAGGTGTTTGATATCATCCTATTCTATACAATTGCCTAAAAAAATATAAGTTCATTCTCACGTATAATCATTAACAAATCCTATTCTCTGAATCATTACAAGAAATGCATAACTACTAGAATATAAATAGAAAAACTTATTATAAACTAAGATATCGTATTTCTCCAACGTACAAGAGTTACTGTTAAACTGATACCTCAATTAAAGCTCAAGTCAAATTCTGTGAATAGCTACAAAGAAAATTTGCTTTTCGTTGCAATTTTTAAAACGGTTGATTACATTTTTGCTGGTTTTTTTTATGAGGAAAACTGAAATTACTTATAAATAAAATTATCGCGTGATTTTTTCGGATGTTTACGTCAAACTTTTCTATGTATACATATGAATAATTTTTTTGTATCAGTTAATCTCATTTTGCGGAAATTTATATAGAAATCATACGATTCTATCCTGTTGTGACGTAACAAATTGATGCACTAGTTATGAACCGTTATGCATTATAAATACAGGATTTAGTAAATCTAAACAACATGCCACCTTCCGAAACACTGTAAAAAAGCATTAGATGTGTGCAAGTTCAAATAGAATAAACTCAAGTTTATATGCAGCCCATATTTTTAAACTGTACAGCGCTCTTTGCTATTTCCTTCAGGATTGCATCCAAAAATATGTGTCTTATTAATAAAACTTGTCAATTTGCCATCTGCCTCATTTAGTATATAAACTCTTCATTAATACTTAAAAAACACTTTACGGCATTTTTAAATAAGTAACCAATGTAGAGACCCGTACTCATCGGCTGTAACGGTTCTAAAAAGGGAAAAAAAATTCCACGTCATCAAGCACATTACGACGTGTAATGTCTCTGTAGCCATATCAGTCACGTGGTGTACTGTCAGAACGACTATCACGTGGCCTATAAACTGCGGTACACAAACCGCCATGTTCGTTATGTATCGTAGAATAGGATAAAATTAAAAATAAACGTTTTATTTCTAACCAAAATGCATTATCGAGATATTGGATAATGGATTGCATTACAGTCGACCGTTTAATATAGAGGCTGGTTAGAACAAGTGACTTCTACTCAAGGTCACGAGATACAACTTGGCTGTAATGTTGCCAATAGTAACTACACCTACTGTATACTAATAAAATCGATTATTTCAAACGTTGTAAGACGATTACATATGCACACCCAAACTAAAAAGAAGAGTATCTATGCAACGTGTTTCGGGTCACGTATACAAGCATAAAAAGTACATTTAATTATTACAAAGCTGTGTAAACATGGAAATCAGTTGTATTGGCTTTTAATGTTTCTGAAAACCATTAAAAATTGTTGAAAGATAATAAAAGCTATTAAAATACTTCTTATTATTATCATTATTAATGAATCAGATGAATAACTTTACCTGTTCTTTTCCAGTTCATTGTGCGATGACCTGAAAGTAAACAAATTGACTAAGAATTGAAAACCGAATAAAATAATTCGAGCGCGATCAAAATATTTTTTGAAAAATTTTAAATTTTTACTGTTTGGATTGCAGGATCGCTTCTGTAGCCCTGTCTCAACCATTTCCGACTGATAAACGAAAGGAGGGCTACAGCGGATCCTGTAGGGAAATGTCAAATGCAGATGGATCGCAGGACAAAAAATCGATTCGACCAAATAAGAACTAGCCTACGGATACTATTTACAAAGAACAAAAAGTGATGAAAGCGGAGGCCAAACGTTAAGAAATTCTTACCTGTTTCCCTGAGTCTTTTTCAATTTTGGTCTTCTTCTATTGAGATCTTCTGGAAGGGGAAGCATCGTGGACGCATATCCATGTTCTGCCTCTGGAAAAAAACAAACCGATGTAGCTATGTCAATCCAGCATTGCACTTATGTCAAAATCAGCTGATCGTCTAGTTCTAGTCGGCATCCATGTTGGAAGGCCTTGGATAAGACAACGATCACGGAGAGAGGCACAGAGTATAGTACAGGTTGAAAGATTACCTCGCTCTCTCCTTTCTATATATTCGGCAGCTTCTAGTAATGCGGCGATGCTCATGCTTGTACTGAAGGTGATACGTTACACTAAAATTCCACAAAACGTATACGTCGTATCCTGCACCTCTTGTTTTGTTCCCAGCCACGCACGTTGCCAGCAGCGTTTCAGCCGATAACTACAAGCTTGGCAGCAGCATTGGAGTGCACCTGACACCGTACCACATGTGATTGGCCAGCCGAAGCGCATTCGAGTATCCGAAGTTGAGATCGGTTATTTTCGTCAGCACCGAGCGCTATCGACCAATCACGAACAATGTTTATTGAAGCCATCAGCCATGCTGTCTGCCCACGTGTTTAACATGCTTCCTTGCAACTGGATGTGTGGGCACTTTCCTTGACACAGTTCCATCAGTCTTGTCAAATTATTCTATATCTATTCCCACTTTTTAATTGGTTTAGAGTTAAAATAAATCTTAGTGTTATTTAACATTTTAAAAGTGGTCGGCTATTGGCTAATGCTATTTGCCATTCACGTTTGATCAATTTTTGGTAGGTCTCTTATTGATTCATCTCGTTCGGAGAGTCAATTGACATGGTTGTTTTGCTATATTTACTGATAAAAATACACGATGAAATCGAAATATAATATCGAGAAATGTTTATAAAAAATTATATATATAACTTATATAGCCTATAGCTAATGAAAAGAGAAAAATGGATAAATTCAATTAGCAGGAAAAATGAGGATGCAACACCTAATGATGTTTGGCACTTAATTAGTGTAGCTTCAATTAGTTAGCTAAAGTTATTTTTTTGGTCAGTTGACAGTTGGCTATTATAATATAACTGCTGCCAATTAGAAAGGCGTTGTCTTTCTTCCATATCACAACGTCCCAAATTCAAAGATCGGTTTGCTATTGTTTAGATTGTTCTGAAAAATACATAACAGGTTAAACTACAGCAGAAGCTCGGTATTTACGATGGAAATTGGAATTTCGATTTTTTACAATAGGCGATAAAGGCATTCAATTTTCATTTGTAAGCAAAAATTGGACTATTTGCATTGATAATTTTTCAGCAAAATTTAAATTCAAAACATTTTTTTTTTTGCTATTAATTAATAAAACATGTGTTTTTAATTAAAAACAACCATGACTTGCGGTTTACGCTCAATATGTGTTTATTTTAGTTATGAATTGTGTTTTATATATAAATGCTTTTAGTGTGTAGTTTTATTTTCAAGCGACCCTTTCGGTTAAAGGTGATTCTATTCAAAGTTAAGAATACAAACAGCAAGCTTTACACATTTTTTCTTTTCCTTTTTTTCTCTGACTCAGACAACCTGTTATTTCCAATTTTGTTCAGAGCGTTAAATCTCTCATCTATAAAAAAAAAAGAAGAAAAGTGGCATTTACATTCCGCCTTCAATATCGAACCCTTCCCAAAACAAGAAAAGTTTCGAATAACCTACGCATCGATTTTTAATAATTTTGTTTTTTTTATTTTTTAAATTTAAGAGCTAATTCAAAAATTTGGGCGAAGGTGACGTGCCTGTAGGGAAATTTCTTGAAAGTCACCTTTGTTGGAAACGGTGTTTGCTGTCTACCATGTGCACTCGAACATTCTTGGCAGCTGTTAGCAGAAATGCTGACGAGACAATTCTGACCTTGAATTGTTGCTGCAGATATTAACGTAAAGCGACACAGGTGCTGCTGACATTCTCATCGAGCGATGATGCCATCGTTCACCTGACTTCACGTCAAATCACGTGATTAGAAAAGCAAGAGAAGAGGTCAGAAACAATCGATTCGTTGCGATCGTGTGCAAATGTATGGGTTTTAATCGTAAACAAAAAGACTCGTTTGTCAAACGTCGAGTGTAAAGAGTGTCAGCGATGCACACTTCCAAAATTTCGCATTGGGATCGTTAACGTGCTCTTTTCTGTCAAGGTCGAATCGGTCGTTGGCGTTGAATGTGTACTGCACTGCGCATAATGTGTATTGACACAGAGAGGCGAGGACAGTTTTATGTAATGAGGTTTTGTGGGGCGAGTTACAGAACTTTCATTTCTCTCTCTCTCTCTCTAAAGAAACGTTTTGAAAAAATAAAATAATCTTAACATTTTTAAACTGTGTAATTTGAAAAATTATACGGCCCTTACGCAATAACAAGTGTTTGTTCCGTTTACGCTTCGAAAGATAAGGTTCAGCTGTTTTTGTTAATTATCTTTGTTTTCTATATGAACATTGAAAACATGTACGAGGTGTTGTATTACACACACTCGAAAATATTTATAATTCCGTTATTTTACAAAATATATAAACCTATTTTTATACATAAGCGTACACATAATACTAACTTGTAAGCTTTAAGTGTGTAAATCTTGTAAAAGAAAAATGAAACTTAAAAAGTTGCTTTGGGTTCATAACATTTTAGAAAAACAGAACCAGACTGTTCCATTTTTTTAATTTTATGAGCTTGATAATGTATCTTTTTAAGTCTAATTTTTATATTTATTGCTTAGTACAATAAATTAAAATTTTGTGCTCGCATCACTATAGATAATGATGTCACCAACACGATTATCGTGATAAAGATAACCTCTTANAAATTAGCTTTACAACATAAATATTGATTTTTTTTATACTATTATGGTTTGATAACATAAAGTAGTTGTTAAACCTTGTTATTTTTAGCAATATTATGCTGTAATATCAAAAACAATCTTTATTTAGGATTTAGTTCTGTACCAATGCTGATTATTGTATCTGTTCTATTATTTAAAAGTTTATCTGAAGTCATGTATGTGTAATTTTGTTTTGATAATGTGTAAAGATGGAAATGCCTGCTACATAATTTGTTTTATATTAATAAATGTATGAGATTTTTATGTATAAATACATCTAAAGTTAGTTCAATTTGATTTTGCTTTTGTAGTAATTTTGCATATATCTTGCTCACATTAATGATATTCTCAATAGAGAATTATTTAAATGTTTTAAATATAATTTCCTCTTCTAAAATTTTCCTGCGTAAAGATTTAATATGCGAAAATAGATAATTGCATTTCACGTAATTAGAAAATCGTCAGTATGAAATATTTAGATTTTATCATCAAGAATTTTTACTGTTGTTTGCTTCATTGTCAGTCGGGTTGCTTAATCATTGTTTATTACGTGACACTAATTTAAATTACAGAAAGCAAATTTTTTTTTATGTTCATATTCTGACATCAATATAATAGAAATATATTTATGTTTATAAATGCTGCGATGATAGTTAATTACAGATAATTATGTTCAAATTACTTTAGTTTTAAGGCTAAAAGAATGGAATATTTTTTTTTTTTTTGGTGTTAGAGATGATTTCTGTTCCGCAAACTTGCTGTGAGCATTCTATGGAGAAAAAAGATTCTGAAGTTTATTTGAAAAATTATTCCAATGTACTAAAACAAATTATTTTATTTGTAGACAATTTTGTGTTGACTATTTTCTACAATACAATAAAATTTATTAGTTTATTGCTTTACTGTTTTGTGAGTAAAGTAAACACGAACTTGCTTATCGATTTTTGAATATATTGATGCTAATGCTCCGCGCAGTAAAATAAATATGAATGACGTCCGACGGCTTCAGATAGATAGCTTCAGAACTGCTGCTATAACAGAAGATTTAGTATAGAATTGTCTTAATTTTAAAAATGTTTCAGGTCTTACTTTCATTTAAAACATTTGGAATTTGTGAGAATGTATGAAAATAAATAAATAATTATGATTTTTAGATGTATCCAACTTCCAAGCATTTTTTAATTTTATGGATACTCGAATCTTGATGCAGAGTTTTTGTGTTTATCATGTCAATGCTCCCGGACAAGAAGAAGATGCACCTCCTCTTCCAGATGGGTAATTGATCTGCTTTTTTTTTTCCATTATAACAGTAGAAAATTACATAAATTGGAATAATAAAATTTAAGAAAATTATGAAAACGTGATCGGCATTAGAATGAGCAGAATGTTATTAAGCTGATGTTTTCGATAACCTTTACCATCCATAGACATTTTTATCCTACTATTAAACTGTCGTAATTCGAGCTCGTATTAACAGCGCTTAAAATAAAATTTAAGAAAATTATAAAACCGTGATCGGCATTAGAATGAGCAGAATGTTATTAAGCTGATGTTTTCGATAACCTTTACCATCCATAGACACTTTAATGCACATTTTCATGCAACAGCAAATCTTAACACTATGTTCATTCCTGTTTTGATATTACCGAACACCATGCTATAAATGTAATTGCAAAGTGGTTTTTCTTAATGCAAACTCCCATAAATGATCAGAATTACAGCTCTAATATAATCTTTAACTTCAAATAAAATACAGCTTATGTTCTTCTTTATTTTTGAAATTTCAAATTATAATTAAATAATAAATAATTCATAATTTAGTTGGTAAGTACAACAAATCTTTTTATTATTTGTAATTTATATAACCTCTTGATTTAGGAAATTCGAGTATGTAAGCAATATTTTCATACCTAAAGAAGCCAGATAAGCTATCCTCATCTTTTGGACATTTATAAAATGAGGTTGGATAAGCGAAAATACAGGAAAATATCTTCAGCTTCCTCTTTTAAAACTTCTTGTTCAAGGTAACACGTCAAACTCAATTTATGTTATAGTTAAAGTTCTCAAAGAAACCTCAAAAGTATAGATTTTTTAAAGATGCGCGGAGGAAATAAATAGGAAAAATAGACTAATTGATATAAAGTTAAGACATCGAGTTACAAATATATAATTTAATTAAATTAGTTCATAGAAAGAATAAATAGTTTGAAGGAGGAAAATGATTTCGAGATAAGCCATTTCTTTACCTGTCTTTCTTCTCCGAATTCAACGTATGATTTAAATCTCGGTTGTTGTCCCATCTATACATTTCTTTTCTTAATTATAACTACTAGTTAATTAAACTATCTGATATTTATAATGTTAACCTTACATTGTCTTTCTAAAGATAAATATTTAAAAAAAATAATAATAATTTTAAAAAAAAGGGGCAGCCAATGCCGATGGCACATTTAAGAGATCAATGTACTTCAGACAACAGTAATATCAATTTTCAATTATTTTCGTCTGAATTGGAGAAGAAGTGTTGTATTAAATTACAACTTTTCCATTCTTATTAATTAGATTTTAAAAAATTTAAATA